AGCAGTTTGGAGATCTTGTTTCAGCAGCTGGAACGCACCCTCTGCCTCGTCTGTCCATTGCAATTGAGCCGACTGGTGTCCTTGACACGCGGCTTTAATTAGGGCTCTTAGTGGAGCATTTTGATGGCATAATCACACACCCATGGTCTGCTGTAACCTGCCACGCCAAGAAAAGACAACATGTGACCAACAGTCTGAGGTTTGGGCAATTGAATTATGGCTTCTAGTTGGGACGGTGCAATACACCTCTTGTCCCCACTGAGTTGCCTGCCGAGATACTCCACTGTTTGCTGGCAGAATTGCAATTTTTGTTTACTTACTTTGTGTCATCCTTCTGCCAATGCAGTCAACACTGTAATGGAGTCTCTCTCACACTGCTCTTTAGAAGCAGAACAAATCAAAATGTCATCAACATACATCAACATTGTAGATGGTATGTCAAGGTGATTTAAATCATTCGCCAGTACACGATTGAAAATTGATGGCGAGTGTACAAAACCCTGTGGTAATCGCGTATAAGAATACTGTTGGCCGTTGTACGTAAATGCAAACAAATACTGGGAATCTGGATGGACCGGTACACTGAAAAACGCTGAACACAGATCTATCACGGTAAACCATTTTGTGCCTGGGGGTATATTACTCAGTAGCGTGTGGGGGTCTGGTACTACTGGTATTTTTACTGCTACAATAGCATTAATTAATCTTAGAGCATGGACTAGTCTGTAGTCATTACTGTTGGGTTTTCTGATGGGAAAAATTGGTGTGTTACAGGGACTTACTGTGGGTTTAAGAACTCCTGCTGTTTCTAATCCTGTAATGATAGGCTGTATTCCTTCTACTGCTTCTCGTTTAAGTGGGTACTGTCTTTGGAAGGGTAATTTAGCATTTAGTTTTATGGTAAATTTGATGGGATCTGCTGATTTTACTAATCCTACATCTGTTTTACTTTTAGACCATACCTGCTCTGGAACTTGTTCTAATAATGATTCATGTTCTTCAGCCACTGCCATTTGTCTTTTCCAAGGAACTTTAATGTGTTCTGCTATTACTTCATCAGCTTGTGAATATGAGATTTTGAAAAACAGTCCATCTTTTGATACGCTAATGCGGTCCCATGCTGTGTCAACCCATTCGGTGACTTGCTTGGCTTCTTGAACCATGGGTCCTAGGTCATCTGACTCATACTTGTCTGCAATCAGTAATGTGACATGTGGTGCTGAGTTGGTAACCTGGAACCATTCTGCTACATCTTTATCAGGAAATGTGACAACAGCTGCAGCTCCTTGTGGTCCAACCACCATGTCAGCGTATTGGATGACAGTTGTTTTGTTGTTAATTTCTTCATCCCAGCTTTTCTCCTAGTCTTCGTGTGTTTTGCCGTTGTCATCCATATATGTCAACTTAGTCCTGGGTTCTGAGTGGCATGTGGGGCCCCTCTGATATGGGGTTTGTCTGCGACGTCTTGGGGGTAGTGTGTAGCTATAGCGTGATCTTCTCCTTACTCCCGTTAAGTAAGGATCTGTCTGATTCTTCGTCTTAACTGCTATAGTCATGCTCTTTCTGCTGCGTGCTACTCATTTCTTTTTCTGCTTCTTCCTCATCTTCTTCTAACACTAATTTAAGTTTTCCTGTAATTTTTCCCTTGCTACCTGGTTTCTCTATCATTACTGGATACTGGCCTGCTATGCTGGGGTGATAAGGTGGTGGCTTACGATCGGTATAGTCAGTGGCTGTTGGACTCTTATGGTGTTCAACTTTAAAATATCGTAGGATATTTCTCTGTTCAGCATGTTTCTGTTCTTTATGCAAATGCATTTGGTCTTGTTTTTTATCCTTATCCCTCAATTTTTCTTCTACTTCATCACAGCATGATGGATCAAAGCTGCCCTTTTTAGGCCAGCGATTTTTCCCAGATGTTATCTTATGCCATTCTGTCATGCATTTTTTAAATTTTGCGCTTATTGGATGGGTGTGTCATTATTACCAGTTTGGCAGGCGTTAGCCCCTCAGTCTGTTAGCTCACATTGGCTCCCATGGCAACCAGCAGTCACTCAACCCTTGAGGTCTGTGCTTATTCACCAACGTACGGAGCCTCTCTGATGACATGGTCAAAAAAAATGTTTAATTGTGGACACGAAGTAGTATTTCGTGTGCACGAAATACTACTTCGTGGCCACGCAATAACTTTAACGTGCGCATGAAATACTTATTAATAATATCAATAAATCCGCCCCTGTTTTCAGGCTTATGTTAACTGTAATGACTTATCTTGGACAGGCTGCTATGTAAACGGGCCTTTAGTCCTTCGTTTAGCTATGCTGCGGTTGTTTACACTACGCCTTTTCCACCTAAAATGGCGTCTTAGCAACAAATGTCACGTGACTGGCGGAGACGACTGGGTATGCAAATCGAGCGCGCCTTAGACCTTAGAGAAGGCGCGCTCGATTTGCTTACCCAGTTGTCCAGGAATGATATTAATATTATTAATAAGTATTTCGTGCGCACATTAAACTTATTGCGTGGCCACGAAGTAATTAAACATTTTTTTTGACCATGTCATCAGAGGGGCTCCGTACCAACCTTTATAGTTCCTAATGTTTTAATTTAACTTGTTCTGCTCTCTCCAATACAGATCTCTTTTTGTTTTAATTTTCCTACTCTTTAGTTTTTTTTTAGATCTCTAAAATTTTGAGTTAGGATCTCTAATAGAACAGATTTATAATATTATTTTCGTACTTTTACTGAGTATTCGGTTTAGTTACTCTATATTTTATGTATAACATAATTTTTATTCACTTATAACCTGTTTTGTAGTTTTAAATTGGAACCTTGTTAATTTATTTTATTCTTTTAACCATGTGTTTTCCAGTTACCAATTCTGTTATAGTTACCAATTCTGTTAATTTTTGTGTTATTCTTTTTTTAACTATATTTTATAATAATTATTTCTGTTAATTTATTATTATACCTTTTAGGCTTTATTAATATTATTATCGTTATTATTATTATTATTCGCCCCTTACTCCCCCTTAGTAATTAACTCTTTCACTCTTTACACTGACAAAGACACACAAGACAAATGATTATATATTTACAGTGCACTTCTACTTTTCCTCACTGTCTCCTACAGTGGCACACGCGTTTTCCCTGCTACCCGGACCTACTCAGATACTAACTGAAAATAGGTAGACGTCATCCGGTAGAGCGGTACTCTTTCTCCGATTATCGCTTAATCGGTAATATTCCGGCTATCCCTTAGCCTGGCTATCGCTTAGCCTCTCAATACTTAATACATAATACTTAATACCTGATACAACACAAGTTCACGGAGCATGCTGACTATCGCTTAGTTGCCAATACTCCCAAGAGAGTAAAGCGCTACACCTTATGTCAAAATGATTGATGGCTTATGACTTATGACCTATGACCTTATGTCAAAAATGATTGATAACATATGACGTATATGACATGACCTTATGACTTATGAACTATGAACTCTATGACCCGCACCTGATCAAAGGAATTTCTTATAACCCATTTATGACCCGTAAATTTCTGCGCAGTCACGCATCATCAAATTTTTGCTTCATCAATCAAATTCTTGAATATAAACATTGTTTTCTTCCCAATCAAAAAGATATGCCAGCTTCTTTGCAGGGTAATAAAAAAGACAGTCCCCACACAAGGAATTTCCCTCCCACCACCCATCCCATACACACACACACACACACACACACCAACTGAGCCCACAGACCCCCAGCATTTTCCCTCATAAGACATCAACCACACATTTTCCTAAAATTAGGCTTAAAATGTGTTTAAACTATTCCATTTCCACTAACAAATCTTATTTTATTTTAAATACAGTTGTCCTTTCAGCAAGCCTCTGTTTTACTTTCCTAAACGGATTTACTCTCACAGATCAAGCTTTCTTTTGTGTTAAGACCAATGTTTAATTCATCATTAAAGTCTGTGTTACTCGCAAAATCACAAACACAAATTGAATTGCTAACAAGTTTTCTTTCTTTAATCAATCCAACTAACTTTTCTATCCACATAAGCTAACAAATCTTATTTTATTTTAAATACAGAAGTTCTTTCAGCAAGCCTCTGTTTTACTTTCCTAAACGGATTTACACTCACAGATCAAGCTTTCTTTTGTGTTAAGACCAACGTCATGACCAATTCATCATTAAAGTCTGTGTTACTCGCAAAATCACAAACACAACCGGAATTGTTAGTAAGTTTCCTTTTTTAAAATTCAATCCAACTAACTTTTCTATCCACAAAAACCTGCCTTCATCAAGCATCCCATTATTCTGCCCTCAGCTCAGTTCAACATTACCACCAACCAAGGTGTAAAACATTTGTTGGGTCTTTTGCTCCTTTCCCGCACTGTAAAAGTATTTTTCTATTATTCTTTAACAGCCCCCAGAAAACCTTCCTAATCATCCCTCCACAAAAACATTCAATCTACAGCCCTCTTTTGTGTTAAGACCATTCATTAACATCGTCCAAGCTGTAAAACATTTGTTGGGTCCATTCCCATGCTGTAAAAAAACTCACAACCCCAGAACTTTAATTTTAAAAAACAGACAGCCATTCTTAAACTTTTCATCTTCTCCCTACAGCCATCGATAAACTTTTCACCTTTCTCCTACACCCAACCCATCAGACACACACACACACACACACACACACAAACACACACACACACACACACACACACACACACACATACCACTGTGCCCACAGACCCACTTTTAGAATGAGTGTGAAACAGCAAATTGGCTTGCAATGAGGGCTTTATTTCATGTTTAATCATTTATCCGTTTGCCACATTCTAAAACAGACACCCCGCGTTTTCTAAGGGTTATCTAAAATATCATATAATTTTACAGCTCAACAGATGTAGGGATTTAAGCTTCTACAAAAGACCGTATGCCAGAGAAACTCCATTCCCATTTTTTAAAGAGTGTCGGGCAGGCGTCTTCATCATGAAACACAGTGAGTATTTTTTTCTACGTTATTAGAAAATAAATACATTCTCTTTTTCATTTATTTAATTTCTTGTTTAAGGGAGGATCGTAGTGGCGGGAGTTAATCCTACCATTGTATTAGGTACATTTTTTTTCCTTTTTAACAAGATCCGCTTTTTCTCACATTTTAAAGGCTCTAATTTTTTTTTTTTTTCATCTATTTCAAGGTTCCGATATCGAGGATTTTCTTATGTCAGACCTTGATTTGGGTAAGACTTTTATTTATAAAAATATTAAAAACGGGATGGAAAAATAACAATTATTTTACTAAACTTTTTTTTTATCCAGAAACCATCACAGCGACCGAACAACGCTCAAATATTCGGACAGAGAGTGAATTTCTTCCACAACCAAACAGTTTTCCCCAACATAATAGCAATCCGGGGGTTTATTTAGGAGAGCAAAACGGACGCCTACCTCCTCACAGCCCCAGCTCCATCTGGCCGGTTTATCAAACGCTTCGGACTGTCAGCCAGCCTGCTCCTACGTCCCTCGCTGCTAACCCTCTACACAGCCCCAGCTCCGTATGGCCGGTTCATCAGCCGGCTCGCCCATTAAGCCAGCCTGCTATCGCGCCCCATGCCACGGTGCATCCCCCTAGACCTCATCCCTTCAGGGAGCAGGGTGCTCCGTCTTCCATCCGTGCATCTCCTCAGCTCCAGGCTCTCTCACCTCGCCAGCAAAGTCATACTGACGCGAATGGAGAAAGAGACAGAAGGGGTAAGCTTAAAAAATATTTTATCTAAACCATTGTGTTGAATATACGCCGTCATATATAAATAATAATAATAATATTTTTTTTTTCCTCACAGACACATCCATTCTGAATGAAAGATCTGATCAGCCAGCTTGTAGTTCAACACCAACTGAAGCCGGTGGTAAGAAAAAAAAAAAATAAAATAATTATTAGTTTTAATATCATATAATCATATATATTTTTGTCTGTTAGACTCCCAGCCTCTTGCTACAAGGAAGGTATTGAAACTCCGGCGTTCTTCAAAACGGAGAAAAGAAAGTAAATAGCCTTTTTAATTTAGTTAGTTTTCAGGATTTTTATTTTTAAGTCGGTCTTACTAAAGCGCGTTATTTATTTATTTTTTTTTTTCTCACAGACACATCCATTCTGAATGAAAGATCTGATCAGCCAGCTTGTAGTTCAACACCAGCTGAAGCCGGTGGTAAGAAAAAAATAAAATAATTCTTAGTTTTAATATCATATAATCATATATATTTTTCTCTGTTAGACTCTCAGCCTCTCGCTACAAGGAAGGTATTGAAAGTCCGGCGTTCTTCAAATCAGACAAAAGAAAGTAAATAGCCTTTTTAATTTAGTTAGTTGTTAGGATTTTTTAAGTAGGTCTTACTAAAGTGTGTTATTTTTTTATTTTCCTCAGCAGGAAAACGAAGGAAAAGCACCGTTTCTGCAGCGCCGCTGGTCCAACACACTGCGCAAGGGGACGCCGCGGAAGCTGTAGTCCAGGATATAGCGGAAGCTGGAAGTGGCGGCGAGGTTGTAGTCCACGAATCCGGAAGCGGCCGAGAAGATTGGGAAACCGGAAGTGGCCGTGACGTTGTAGTCCAGGAAACCGATAATGGCGGAGAAACTGTAGTCCAGGATATACCGGAAGCAGGAAGTGGTGAAGAAGATCAAAAAATTGAAAATACGATTCAAGAAAGTTCTGACCAGCCAACTTTTAGTTCAACACCCGAAACCGATGGTAAGAAAATAAAATAATAATATTAATTCTGAGTTTTAATATCATTTAATAATATATATATATATACATATATATATATTTTTTTTCACTCTCTTAGACTCACCCCTTCTCGCTATATTGAGCAGACTGAGAAATTAAGGTAAATACTCTTTATTTATTTATTAAGTTTTATTTATTTATATATTTTTTAAAGTTAATCTTAGTAATTCGTTTTATTTATTTATTTTTTCCTCAGTAAGGAATCGAATCGGCCAGTCCAGCATTCCCATCAGAGAAGAATCCAGACACCTGGCTTTTCACACATTGACGGCTGTGAGCGAGCTTCTGTCTGCAGCCGGCAACCGAGATGAAGTTCCCGAGCGCCTGGTTATTCAGGCATTGGCAGCTGTCGGCGAGCTTCTGACTGCACCAGGCAACCAAGAAGACCCCGGCTTCCGTTCGTCCATCTTGGTGAATATGTGCTATATAATGAGGAACATTCTTGGATGAAGAAAAAAAAAAAAAAAGTCTAGTGAATAAACATGTCTGACCCGCATTTATCTCAGTCAAACACATCTCCGAATGTTTCTCCTTCTAGTGAAAATCAAAATGCATCACAACCAGATTCTTTAGATGAATTTGTCTCTGAAGCGGTTTTACAAAATTTGCGAAAAATTGCCGATGATATAAGCCCTTTAATTGATGCTGGTTCACCTTTAAATCCGACCTCTCCCTTAGAAGATACATTTCTTTCTCACAGTCCGCCTCCGCAGCAAGAAAATCATCTAGAACACTTAATTAGCTTGGAGCAAGCTCTGAGCGAATTATCCAGACATTCTTCTTCTAGTGAAAATCTTTTACTGTTAAACCATCCCCTTCCTTCTCAAAATGTTATTCAATCCGATGGTGGGAGAGGAGTACAAACCCTAAACAGAGAAAATTTTAACAATGTGGAAATTAGGGAACAGCTTTCATTAAATCAGAATGTTCAGAGGGAGATTTAGCAGAAATATTCCTCAGCATGATGAATGTTTTATCCAATCTGGCTGAAAGAATAAGACCGCTCGCATCTAGAAATGATGTCATACAACATACAACATACAACTTGAACTAGTAACCGATGGTGGGTCTCGTCACACAACCTTTACTGTAAATGATAATGGGGAAAATATCATGGAGGAACTTGAACATTTTATGGATACTTTGGTACAATCTAATTCCGCAATAACCGAAGAGGATAATGTGGAATTCATTCTCCAGCTGATTCGGAATCCTCACGGGGTTGGCAGACTAAAACTTGAAAAAATTGTAGACCAAGAATTAATAAAAAGAAAGAGAAGACATTTAATTGTGATTAATGATGACGGCGATCAACTTTGCTTTGCAAAAAATTTAGCCTGTTTAGCATATCCAAATCTCTCCCTCACAGAGGTTTGTCATCAGGCTAGAGCGTGGCAAAGGCAGGCACGACTTTCTGATCAAACACCAGTTTCCTTTTCAGATGTCAAAACATTTGAAGAAATCTTAAACAGAAAGATTGTGATATATTATCGCTCAGTAAATGAAAGCCCTCTTTCTAAATTTGAGACAGATTTTTCTGACAGATCAAGACCCCTTTTCGTGTTTCTATTCAACCAACATTATTACGGGATCAAATCCTTAACTGGTTTTCTGGGTGCCAATTACGTATGCGATTATTGTTTTTCCCCTTTTGTAAAAAAAGACAGACATTCCTGTCGGGGTTATTGTCCAGTCTGCAACGATCCAGGCTGTACTCAGCATGAATCCTCACCAGTTTTTTGCCCCGACTGCAATTTGACATGTCGCAATCAGACCTGTTATGCGAAACATAAAATAAAAAAAGAAAGACCAATAGCAAAAACACGGGCCAGGAATTGTGAGATACATAAATTATGTCTAAAGTGTGGAAGAAAATATTATATTCCCATCTCTACTCCTGGCAAACCCCATGTATGTCTACCTCGAAAATGTCACATATGCGGACAGAAAATATCTCCAGATTTGGGTGAGGGAGAGCACCAGTGTTTCATTCAACCCTGTCAGAAAGATGAAAAACTAGAGGAGAAATTAGTTTTTTTTGACATTGAGACCTTTGTTAACGAGGAAAGCAAACATGTTCCTTTCCTCGTCTGTGCAAAAGATTCATCTGGAAAAGAATGGTCCTCCTTTGGTCTGAAATGCGTTCAAGATTTTATTCTCCACTTTCGAAGACCAAAGTTTTCCAAATTTGTCTTTTTGGCGCACAACGGTAGATCTTTTGACTATTATTTGGTTCTGAACACCATGGCTCAGATGGGTATAAAACCTCGCATCATTATGCAAGGTTGTAAAATTCTCAGTTTTATCGACCCAGACTATGGTTTAAATTTTATAGATAGTCTTTCATTTCTACCTATGAAACTCAGTGCCATGCCGAAAGCTTTAGGCTTTAACGATAAAAGTAAAGGTTTCTTTCCACACAAATTTTCATCCCAACAAAATTTGAAATACGTCGGCCCGCTTCCCCAACCACACGCCTATGGAATAGAAAATATGTCACCGCCTGAAAAAGAAAAGTTTTTGAACTGGTACATAAATGCTTCTTCTTCCCCATTCTCTTTTGAAAAAGAGGCAATGTACTACTGTAAAAACGATGTTGAAATCCTTTCTAAAGGCTGCAAAAAATTTAGAGAGCAGTTCTTTAGCGATACCCATATAGATCCATTTTCTCGCATTACAATCGCCTTGTCGTGCATGAAGACTTTTCAGGCAAATTTCCTGACTTCAAATACGCTGGCAATACCCGATCCGCTCGGGTATCGCGGACAGACAAAGCCGTACTCAAACGGATCGATCGAATGGCTGGAATACTTGGCTTTTTCCAGAAACATCTTCATCCAACACGCCCTTAATTTAGGGGAGAAAAGAGTAGGGTCGTATTTTTTGGACGGTTACGCCGAAATAGGCGACGTCAAGTACGGTTTTGAATACTTTGGCTGTCTGTTCCACGGTTGCCCTTCCTGTTTTAATCCTTTGTCCATTTGTCCGTTAAGAGGCGCGAGCTATGAAGAAATCTTTGCAGCCACCCTCCAAAGAAAGCAGATTCTGGAATCGCTTCATGGTCTAAAACTTGAAGTCATTTGGGAGCATGATTGGGAAGAGAAAAAAAGAAACTGCACCGCCATTAAAGAATTTATTCAAAACAGTTCCCTGCCTGAGCCTCTGTTCCCCAGAGATGCTCTGTTTGGAGGCAGAACCAACGCCGTCACGTTGAACTATTCTGCCGCTCCAGATGAGATTGTGGCTTACCAAGACGTCATCTCGTTATATCCCTCCGTTATAAAAATGCACTACTTCCCTGTAGGTCATCCAAAGATCATTTACGACAACTTTGATGATCCCACAAACTATTTCGGGTTCGTCAAAGCTATCGTTTCCCCACCACGAGGTCTGCTCTTTCCAATTCTTCCCTTTAAGACCGAAAAAGGTAAATTGGTTTTCACTCTGTGCCGCACCTGCGCTCAACTCAATAACCAGAAAGAACCTTGCAATCACAACGAAGAAGAAAGATCCCTAAAGGGAACCTGGGTTTCTGTCAAGCTTAATAAAGCCTTAAAGCACGGGTATAGGGTTGAAAAGATCCTCACCGTATGGCATTTTGAAAAACAACGTAATGACATTTTTGACCGATATATATATATACTTTTCTAAAGTGCAAACAGGAATCATCAGGTTTTCACGCCGACGTGAGCGATGAAGAGGGGAAACAGCGTTACATGGCAGATTTCCTGAAGAACGAAGGTATTCAACTAGAATATTCAAAAATTGAGACAAATCCGGCAAAAAGACAAGTGGCAAAGTTATGTCTCAACAGTCTTTGGGGAAAGTTTGCTCAGAAAAATGATCAGACCCAGACCAACATCATATCAGAACCGCAGGAATTTTTTGAACTGTTGTTTTCAGGGAACAAACATGTGAAATATTTTCACGTTCTGAATCCTGAAAACGTGCTTGTTCAATGGGAATGGACAAAAAAATCTATTAGTCCCCCAAAAAGAACTAACAACGTCTTTATCGCGGCGTTCACTACGGCCTACGCTAGATTAAAACTGTTGAGTTACCTTCAAAAGCTGCAAGACACAGTTTTGTATTTTGACACAGACAGTATAATCTACGTTACCAAAAAGGGTCAGACTCTGCTGGAAACGGGGAATTATTTGGGGCAATTAAGCGATGAGTTAAACGGGGATAGCATAGAACATTTTGTGTCCATAGGTCCAAAGAATTATGCTTATCAGACCCGTCAGAAAAAAGTGGTTTTGAAAGCAAAAGGCATAACACAAAACATGCAGGCTTCTGAAAATGTCAATTTCGAGAGCATGAAGAGGCTGGTTGATGCTTTTCTCCGGGGTCAGGAGACTGCTTCTATAGGGATTCCTCAGCAAACCATTAGACGTGATAAAAGCGGGTTTCACTTGAAGAATGCATCATTCATGAAAACATTTTGGGTTGTGTATGACAAGAGAAGACTGTTTAAATGCGGTAAAACCCTTCCTTTTGGCTACTAGATTGTAATTGGACAAAAAAAAATGTCGTTTTACTGAGCCAAAAGAAGTTCATTTTGATTTTAGACTAAACTGTCCTTTTTCTGCAATCATTTCTGGCCCGTCTGGAGCGGGTAAAAGCTTTTTTGTCAAAATGTTGATGGATAATCTCGAAGATGTTTTAAACTGTGTACCAGAAAATGTTGTCTGGATTTATACTTCATTTCGAAGTTTGTACGCTGATTTGCAAAGAAGAAATAAAAGAATTAACTTTGTGAACGGTCTCCCATCTTCATTTCAAGACGAGGAATTATTTCCTCCGGATCAATCTCATCTGGTAATTCTAGACAACCTCATCTTTCAGGCTGGAGAAAGTGAACAGGTGGCCAAGATATTCACAAAGTTTCGACAACACGCCAACATAAGCGTAATACTAATTATGCAAAATGTGTTTCAGCAAGGAAAGTTTAGTCGAACCATTAGCTTGAATGCTAACTATATGATTCTATTTAAAAGCCCAAGAGATAAACTCCAAATCAATATATTAGCCCGCCAAATTTTCCCATCCCAGAAGGATTTTTTCCTGGAGAGTTTTGAAGACGCTACCAGTCAGCCTTTTGGATATTTAATCGTAGATCTTACACCAAAGTGTCCAGATGAGTATAGACTGAGAACAGGATTACTTCCTCACCAGTGGCCCGTCATCTATCTCCCCAGATCAAAGTAGGTGGATCCTATTGATCATGTCCGCCCGTATAAAAAGAAACGCGCCTTTATCAAAGGCTCTGTACCACGCTACTCAGAAACGTAAAGATATATTGGCACATTGCTCACCCGACATTCTCCAAGCTCTGTGTGAAATTTCTCTCAATATTTTAAAAGGAAATATCAAGTTATCTCCTTCTCAACATCAAAAATTGAAAAAGCAAAAAAAGACAAGAGATAAACTCCAAATCAATATATTAGCCCGCCAAATTTTCCCATCCCAGAAGGATTTTTTCCTGGA